GTTGTGGGCACATCCCCGGTAGGGGGTGTGCAAGAGGCAGCTGATCAATGACTCTCATCGATGTTTCCAACTCTCTATCCCTCTCCCTTCCTCTCTGTACAAAATCAATAAAATATATTTTTTAAAAATAAATAAAAATAAAATGCACCCAGGAGGCCAGTCATATGTTTAGCTTGTTTTGTCAATGCCTGTTATTCACCATGGAAGGTCCAGAAAACCCATTTAGCTCCCAGCGAAGAGACGCACCGCACTCCGACAGCGAATGTTTTCAGTACCGCGAGCGACAGGTTGTAGGATGCAGCCGTTCTCAGAGTGCTTCTGGGCACCCTCCTCCATCCTGGCTGCTCCTGGGTCTTTAGAATAAGGTCACCATCTCCACCGCGCTCTAAAAGAAAGCCTCGGGGTGAATGCGGAGTCAGGGCAACCATTGTGACTCTCTCCTCCCCCAGCAATTCAGACATGCACGCTCTGGGCCTGAATCCCCGAGCGCTGGTCTGCACAGACGCGGTCTGCACGGAGAATCGGGGTCCTTCCTGCTCCGTCCCTGAGTGGGATGCTGGAAAGCTACGTTACCGGGAAAAGGGAAGGCGGTGGGTGCCCCGCTGAGCATCCAGTTCCTTAGGTTTTCCTCGGAACCCAGGCTCAGGCAAAGGGTGGCAGAAAAACATCTTTAGACGCGTGTTTTGAGGGAGAAATCATGTGGATGTAAGTAGAGTGAGTGCTTTCTTCAGAAGATGCTGTTGCTTATCCAGACGGATCCTGTAACTGGGACACTTGGGGCACTCAATGGTGGCCTTCAGCACGCCCAGGGTGTGCTAAAAGAGAGAGTCTACGCGGAGAAACACAACAGAAAGCACTGTATTCATTCAACAAACATTCCAATACCTACTATGTCAACAGTGTTCTAGACACGAGGGACTGAGCCGTGAGCAGTGCACAAGAGACAAAACCCTGCTTCGTTGGAGCTTCTAGTCTAGACCGCCCGCTTATACAAATTACAGCGCATGGCAGGTCAGAAGGCAGGAGGGACCGTGGACGGAAATAAAGCAGAGAAGAGGCGCGGGGGACGGGAGAGGGTGGCAGGGGAAGGTGATGTATGAGTCAGGATCTGAGGGGTCCAAGGGCACAGGCAGGCAGCTATTTAGGAGAGGAGCGTTCCAGACAGAGGGAACAGCGGCTGCGGTGGCTCTGAGGCAAGAATGTGCCTGGCGATTAGAAGGAATAAGGAGGAAGCCGAAGCATTTCAATGCCTCCCACTGCTGCCAGGTTAAGTAAGGGATTACAATGAGGGGCCACAGGTCATGAGCGGGGCCACATTTCACACCCTCTTGGAGCAAGAATGTGCCTCTGTCAGTGCGGACTCAAACCCCTTAATCTCCCCGAGAAATGAGAGAAGGCGGGGTGAGTCACCCGAGGTGACTCCACAGGGACTGGCCGAGGAAAGCTTCCCCACAAGCACCCCCCATCTCCTGCTCCAACTCTGGATCTAAGAGGTATTTTTCTTATTTAAAAAAAAAAAAAAAATTAACAAAACAGCAAAGGAGTCCAGTCAACTAATATAACCTTCTTAGAGCTAAAGGTTGATCAATTTTACTTTTTCATTCAACAAGTAACCAAGAGGGCCCTATATAACCACCCTAAATGCTTGCGGGAAGTGAAATAACAAATGTAGCATTCCCTGGACCCCACTGCCCAGCTATTCACGGCGGATGTGTGCATCATCAGAGCAGCTGTGCCTAGGGAAACACGCCTCCGATGTGTACCGTGGCACCATTTACCACAGTAAAAACAGTGGAAACCGGGCAGAAGTCCTCAGCAGAAAAGGTGTCCACAGGGGAAAGTGGAAACACTCATGTTCTTTGACGAGGGGGGGCATCGGCCAGCTTATTCACTCACTGGAACTCTCTGTGGCAGCGAAGGAAGTTCTACGTGTCCCTCAGAAACATAAGGACACGTGAAAAAATGCAAGTCATCTGTAGAGAGGATGATACCATGTGTACAAAAAGGGAAACACACAAGCGCGCAGACAGTTTGTGAACAGGTAACATCCAGAAGTGCCAGGCATGTCTGAAGACTTCATGTGTGCACTGCACATTAGCAGGCTGTACTTTATTTTTACGAGGGAGACGGAAAGCAAACATGGAAAGATTAGCAACTCCTCAACGTCGGTAGTGGCGGGAGATGGAAGCTTTACGTACATTCTCTTTTGCCACTGGAAACACTGGAAATCTGTCCTACTTTTCTTTGTTATTATTCTGAAAGGAAGGAGGAGAGCGGGACAATCCCTGGATTCCAAGGCCTGGTCTCTTGAACCTCCAAACCTGCGTTTCTTCCCCTTTAAACGTGAGCGGGAGTGAGGGTGCCTGCTCTAGGCTGCTCTGAGAAGCGGCAGTCAGCTGCATGGCCAGGGGCTCTGTGGATGCGCAGGGACACTGTGCCACCCCCCCCCTCCCCCAGGGCCTGGCACTCCTTCTTTCTATCAGTTTCACAGATAATAGTAATAAGACTTTTCACAGGTTGTGACCACCACGCCTATCCGCAAAAAGCCATCAAAACAAATCCAAGGAACGTAAATGACACAAGCAATCTTACTGAAGCATCTCAATGAGTGCAAAGAACCCCCCCCACCCTCACCCCAGCCCAGCGCGGGACACCTCTCCCAGTCCATGTGACGCAAGCACTGGTTACAAATGGTAAGGACTGGGGACTGGATAGATTTCCTCACGTGGAATCTACCTTACAAGCCCACTAGCCAAAATATGCCACCGGTTAGGCATCCTTAAGAAACGGTGGCCATGCCCTGACCGGTGTGGCTCAGTGGACAGAGCGTCCGCCTGCAGACTCAGGGGTCCCAGGTTTGATTCCGGGCAAGGGCATGTGCCTTGAGGCAGCTGATGGATGTTTCTACCTCTCTTTCCCTCTACCTTCCTCTCTGTAACAAAAAACAAAATCAATAAAATATATTTAAAAAGGAAAAGAAAAGAAAGATGGCCAGCCTACAGGCATAGGGAACAACACTCCCAGCCCCACCATAGGCAGGGGCCCGCGGCCAGACCGAGCCCTGGAGACCCAGCTCCCAGCGCACCCTGCCTTCTCCCACCCCTTCCAGCCCACGCAGCTGCTCCCGGGCTCTGCCAGGCCCGCAGCCCGGAGTTCCCATCCCGGGGCCCTGCGATGTCCCCCATCCCAGGCCTCTGGGACCCTCCTCCCAGGAGGGAAAACGCGGGAGGGTCCCCCCATCCATCACCTGCGGGCCCAGGCCCAGCACAGCCCTGGTCCCCAGCGGCCTGGCCCGGTCCGCCCCGACCCTCTGTCCGGGGAAGAAAGTTGCGCCGACCTGGCTGCCAGGAGGTGCCAAGCCCGGCCCCACAGCCCGGCCCGGGGGTCCGGACCCCATTTACACCGGCTCCCTCCGCCCGGGCTGCCGCTCGGGGTTCTGGGGTCCCACCCCCCCCCCGGGTCCCACCCCCCCCCCCCGCACAAAGGGGCTCAGGAGGTCCGAGCGCCCAGGCGGTGTGAGCCCGGCTGGCCGGAGCCTGCAAAGTGCAGGAACGAAACCCGGCGCAGGCAGCCGGGGAGTGGGCCGGGAGGGCCCCCACCCTGGCAGAGGCTGGGGTGCAGAGCGCCCTTTTCCGGCTCCACATCCTCTCAAAGTCCCGCTGCCGAGCCGCCCGGCCCGGGGCGCGGGGACGGGGACGGGGACGGGGACGGGGACCCGGGCGCGGGGGGGTCAGGCGGAGGGGTGCGGGGGGACCTCGTCTGCACCCCGGCGCCGGCCGCGGGCTCCGGAGCGGGATGGAACAATAGCGGACCCGCTCGCAGGCCATCCAGCCTCCCCTCCGCCTCCTCCCCAAGCCCCCGGGGGACCGGGCAGCGGCCGTGGCCGCCCGGCAGGTGGGCAGGGGCAGTGGCCAGGGCGCCCCGAGTGTCCCCCCGGCCGCCCATTCATCGCCGCCCGCTCCGCGCCCCGCCCGCCGGCCCGCGGGGCGCCAGGCGGGTCCCCTCCCAACTTGGCGGGGTCCCCCCTCTCCTCTCCCCCTCTCCCCTCCGGTCCCCCCTCTCCCCTCCGGTCCCCCCTCTCCCCCCCGGTCCCCCCGCTCCCCTCCGGTCCCCCCGCTCCCCTCCGGTCCCCCCTCTCCTCCCCGGTCCCCCCTCTCCTCCCCGGTCCCCCCTCTCCCCTCCGGTCCCCCCGCTCCTCCCCGGTCCCCCCCCCCGCTCCTCCCCGGTCCCCCCCCCCGCTCCTCCCCGGTCCCCCCTCTCCCCTCCGGTCCCCCCTCTCCCCTCCGGCCCCCCCTCTCCCCTCCGGTCCCCCCGCTTCTCCCCGGTCCCCCCGCTTCTCCCCGGTCCCTTCACTTCTCCCCGGTCCCTTCCCTTCCCTTCGGTCCCCCCCTCTCCCCTCTGGTCCCTCCTCTCCTCCCCGGTCCCCCAGCTCCTCCCCGGTCCCCCCGCTTCTCCCCGGTCCCTTCCCTCCCCTCCGGTCCCCCCTCTCCCCTCCGGTCCCCCCTCTCCTCCCCGTCCCCCCTCTCCCCTCCGGTCCCTGCTCCCCTCCGGTCCCCCCTCTCCCCTCTGGTCCCCCCTCTCCTCTCCTCCCCGGACCCCGCTCCTCCGCGGTCCCACCTCTCCTCCCCGACCCCCCTGCTCCTCCCCGGTCCCCCCTCTCCCCTCCGGTCCCCCCGCTCCTCCCGGGTCCCCCCGCTCCTCCCCGGTCCCCCCGCTTCTCCCCGGTCCCCCCGCTCCTCCCCGGTCCCCCCGCTCCTCCCCGGTCCCCCCTCTCCCCTCCGGTCCCCCCGCTCCTCCCCGGTCCCCCCGCTCCTCCCCGGTCCCCCCGCTTCTCCCCGGTCCCCCCGCTCCTCCCCGGTACCCCTCTCCTCTCCTCTCTGGTCCCCGCACCCCCTCTGCGGCGGCGGGACGCTGGGGACCCCGCGGGGCCGCTCCGCCCGCCGCCCGGACACAAAGCGGCGCGGGGACCCGCCGGAGCTCCGATCGGCGCCCGCACTCACCCATCCAGGCGGCAGCTCCGGCCGCGGCTGCTCCACCCGCCGCCGCTTCCCCAGGAAAGCGCGCCGCCGGGCTCCTTCCTGCCCGGCTTCCTGCGCCGGGATCCCTCCTCCCGCCCCTCCTCCTCCCCCTCCTCCTCCTCCTCCTCCCGCTCCCGCCGGTCAGGGCGCCGCTCCGGGCCGGGCCGGGTGAGGCGGGGGCCGCAGCTCCACCACGTGGCCGCCCGGCGGGAGCGGGAGACGGCGCCCGTCCCGCCCCTCCGCCCGCGGCCCCAAATCCCGCGGGTCAGGTGACCTCTGCACCCCGAGTCCGTGGGGAGGCGGTGCCGGACCGGCTCCGGCGGAGGAGTTCGCGGGAGCGCTCAGCTCCCAGAGGCGCGTGGCCCCGGGGAAAGTGGGGGGGAGAGGGGGGAAGTGGGGGGGAGAGGGGGGAAGTGGGGGGGAGAGGGGGAAAGTAGGGGGGAGAGGGGGGAAGTGGGGGGAGAGGGGGAAAGTGGGGGGGGAGAGGGGGGAAGTGGGGGGGAGAGGGGGAAGTGGGGGGGAGAGGGGGAAGTGGGGGGGAGAGGGGGGAAGTGGAGGGGAGAGGGGGAAAGTGGGGGGGAGAGGGGGGAAGTGGGGGGGAGAGGGGGAAAGTGGGGGGGAGAGGGGGGAAGTGGGGGGGGGAGGGGGAAAGTGGGGGGGGAGGGGGGAACGGGGGGAGAGGGGGGAACTGGGGGGGAGAGGGGGGAAGTGGGAGTCCGGCGCCTTCGCAGCAGACGCGCGTGGCTCGGGTGTCCCCACGTGGACAGGAAGGCCAGGAGGAGCCTGTGGCCTCTGGGCCGGACGGGCGGGCTGCAGGAGCTGTGCACACTCCTCAGGGGACCCTGGAGAGGAGCCCCCCTCCCATGGCTGCCCCCGCAGAAGCCCCCGCCTGAGCTGGAAAGGCGACCCCGGAGCGCCCCCAAGCAGGGCCTGGGGAGCCTGGGGGAAGGCGCCCTCCCCAGGACCCCTGGGCTCCCCCTTCCCCAGCAGGCTGAGACCACCGGCCTGTGCGTCCTGGGGGACCCCTCCATCTCCACGGATCTCAAAGCCCTGCATCCATCGCTTTAACGGGGTCTGCTTTCCCATTCATTCTAGTCATCAGACAGCTGTGGCCTGAGCTGCGAGTCCTTGGCCGGGGCGGGAAGCTTTCTGGGTTCAAGAGGTGGAGTGCGTCCTTTTGGGTGGGAGCCACTGTGAGTCAATAAATAAACGATCAAAGGTGGAATTCGCCCTAACGGGGTTCAGTTGATCACGTCTTGGCTAGATCTGGGCGTGGACAGGTCCTGCTCCATCTGTACCCCTCCTTCCCCCTCCTCCCCCCTCCCTGGCAGCTAAGGAAGCAGCCTGTCCCAGCGGTAACAGCGGCTCAGAGACAGGGAGCAGGAGCTGTGCAACCATCACAGGGGCTGCTCACTGGTACCCAGAGGCTCCTGGGAGAAGTGATGGGCTCAGAACAAGATGTGGACCCCCCCCTCCCGTCTGCCTCCCTTTCGGATAAAAACCGCCTCCAAAGGAAGTGTGACCTGGCGGAGGCTTGTTTTGGTTGAATGCCAGTGATTTCCACAGGACGGTTTCCGCTGTGGTTCGCGTTAATGGCGTGCCGGGGGGATCTGGGGGAATGGCACTGCCACTTGTGACTTTTCGGTTCTGCTTTTAGCCTGTCAGTGGGCAGCTGGGAGGGTGGGATTTGAAGTGTGGAAGAGGGCATGTATCCTGCTGCCTTGGAAAATCACCAGGAGCATGGTCTATAGTTGAAGGAGTTAAAACATCAAACATGAAACAATCATTGTACAAGGCTAGGTCATCAGCCTTTTATCCATAGAAGGCCTGTCTCCTCCCCCCAATAACCTCCTCCTCCTCCTCTTCCTTCTCCTCCTCCTCCTCCTCCTCCTCCTCTTGCTCCTCCTTCTCCTCTTCCTTCTTCTCCTCCTCCTCCTCCTCCTCCTCCTCCTCCTCTTCCTCCTCTTCCTCCTCCTCCTCCTCTTCCTCCTCTTCCTCCTCTTTCTCCTCTTCCTTCTCCTCCTCCTTCTCCTCCTCCTCCTCCTCCTCCTCCTCCTCCTCCTCATCCTTCTCCTCCTCCTCCTCCTGCTTCTCCTCCTCCCCCTCCTCCTCTTCTTCCTTCTCCTTCTTTCCCTCCTCCTCCTCCTCCTGCCCCAGCCACCTGCCTGGAGCCCACCCGTCCTGTCAGCCTGGGATCTGGAGGCGGCTTGTGTATTTCTTCCACTCAGTTCAGAATCCCACCCCCTAACACCAGCAGCTCTGCCTGAGGGAGTGCTGAGGAGGAAAGGACTCGGAGGTAGGCCCATGTGCCAAGACCCTTCCCCAGACCCCCTTCTCCTGGAGCACAGACCTCAGCTCCCAGCTCAGCCGCCTGCCAGGGGACCGGTAGCTAAGAATGAGATGGAACAGTCTCCCCATAGTTGTTGTTTTGGTTTTGCCCAGGTCTTTGAGAAGCGCTAATCGGATTTAGAATGCATCCAGCACCGCCCTTAGATGGAGATCTGGCCCAGGTAAAGTGTGTGAGAGAAGAAAGCAAAGATAAAGGAACCTGCATGAAGTTGGTGCACTTTTTGTCCATAGAGGGATTGCCCTGAAATCCAGGGTAATAGCCGAGGTGTGATACATAGTGCTAGGAGCAATCAGAGCACGTTTGACGGACTTGCCACTTGAACTTCACCAAGTGTTTGAGTTTCCTGGTCCCGCTCTCCTAGTCGGTAAACAAGAACATCGAATTACACGGCCTCGGAATTTTTCCAGCTCCCGCGTTCTGAGCCCGTGCTGATAGCTTAAAGGGCCCTCACAGGCTGCTCTCCAGGCGGCCCAGCAGGCTGCTCTGGCAATCCAATAACACCCTCAACTCCTACGGGTGTGGCCATCAGGACTTAGGGGATCTGTACATGAAACTCATTGATTGGTGGGGCCATGTTTTCGTTGTCCAAGTTAAATAGTACGTCCCTTCTTTCTCTCTCCATGTCTCATCCATCTGCCAGATGACGAGCTTGCTAAGTCGGGGTTACCAAAGCTAAGACTCGTTGGGGGTCACAGGAAACTGTCCCTGAGGAGGAAGTAGAGATAGGTAGCACACAGAGCCAAAAAGGAACCCCCCACTACACTGAGTGTCCGGTCAGGTTCTGACTGCTCTTCCCGGTCTGCGTGGAGGCAGCGTGATGGAGAGGAGTGTGGCCACGTTGGGCCCAGGCCAGAGGGAGGAGCAAACACGCAGTGGGAGGTTGGAGGGAGATAACCTACAGAGAAAAGATAAAGCCCAAATATTGATAGAAAAACCTTGTATCTTCTTTTTTGTATTTTCTTGGGAATGTTTCAAATAGGAGGAAGCTGTGACCTGGGAGAAGTTAACAAAGTAACTTTAGCCCTGCTTTTCATTGTTTAATAAGATCTTAGTAATAAAGCAGTCTGCAAACTCTGATTGGCCCATGGTTTTCCCTTTGCCGGGAAGCCAGCAGAGATTTTTTTTAAGGGTGGGTTACTACCCTGTCCTCAGTGACCTTGGACATGGGCTCAGGAGGGGAGACTAAGATGCTTGGCAGCAATGCTACCCACAGCTCTGCCCCAGCGCCCTGCGGGAGGAGTGTGGCAGAGATGCTGAGCATCTCCACCTTGGCATGACAGAGGAGAGTTTCTCAAGACTGGCCCGTCACCCCACAGGGGGATGCGAAGTCTGCAGGCCGGTGCTGCCCGGGGGGTAGCCACCAGCCGCATGTCAGCACCGGAAATGTCACGAGTCTACTGGGCCTCTGGCACTTGAGATGCCATGAGTCCAGCGTGAGATGTGCAATAAGAGCAAAATACACACAGTTTTCCAAGACTTGGGATGGTGGGGGGAAAGGAAAATGTCTCACTAATTTTTAAAAAATATATTTTTATTGATTTCAGAGAGGAAGGGGGAGGGAGAAAGAAACATCAACGATGAGAGAGACCTTGATCGGCTGCCTCCTGCACACCCCCCACTGAAGATGTGCCCTGACCGGGAATCCATCTGAGACCACCTAGTTCCTAGGTAATAGATGTTCAACCACTGAGCCAGGCCGGCCAGGCTCTCACTAATTTTTATAGTGTTTACATACGTAAATGTTAATATTTTGAACATACTCTGTTAAATATATTATTGACACTGATTTCAGCTGATTCTTTATACTTTTCAAATTCTGGTTAACTAGAAAATTAAAAAGTAGTATCTGGCTTGCATTCTATTCCTATTGGATAGCACTGTTCTAGGGGCTAACATTAGCATCTGACACACATTCAGCATCGACTCCATACCAGGAGTCTATATATACATGAACTGCCATGGCCATATATTTAATTACCCGACCTGGAGCACTGTTGACACTTTTGATAGTGCAACGGGGCAGGCAGATTCTAAACCAGCCAAGATTCTAGACCGGAGGCATCAACTAGACCTGTTCCGAGCAAACTGCGATGTGAGGCCACCCTAATGCCAGGTCCCTGAATCCTTATCCAACCCTATATTATCACCCCCTTTTCACACACGAGGGAACTGGGCACTGAGGATGAAGTAACTTGCCCAAGTCACACAGCTACGGAAGTGTTGGGATTCACACTAGGGCCATCTGGCTCTTCAGCCTTCACTCCTAACTGCCACCCTGCCTCCTTAAGAGCTAATAAGGATTGAGGATTTAGTAGGTGTAATCTCTCTTATTGTTTTCACAGGTGCTGACACTGAGTTTCAAATAGCCCCCCCCAAAAAAAAATAAATCATAGAACCAGAAAGAGTGAGGCCAGGAACCAAAGCTTGGGGTGCCCAGCTCAGAGGGATCTTCTTACCCACCACCCTGTGCTTCTTCAGGCCACCTCTGTTTCTTCTTTCTTTCTTTCTTCCTTTCTTTCTTTCTTTCTTTTTTTTAAGATATATTTTTATTTTTATTTTTAATATATATTATATTTTATTCCTCTTTACCGAGAGGAAGGGAGAAAGATAGAGAGCTAGAAACATCGATGAGAGAGAAACATTGACCAGCTGCCTCTTGCACACCCCGTACCGGGGATGTGCCCACAGCCACGTACATGCCCCTGACCGGAATCAAACCTGGGACCTTTCAGTCCGCAGACCGCCGCTCTACCAGTGAGCCA